CTCGTGTGGGTTGGTGTCGGCGAATCCGTAACGAGGCAGTTAGAAAGCGTGTTTTCGGTTGTGTAACGGGTACTTCCATTGAAGAATGTGTCCAGCACCAGAAGCTGCGTTGGTTGGGACATGTTTTACGCATGCCGAACCATCGTTTGCCGAAGAGAGTACTGTTTTCCATGCCCAATTCGGAGTGGCGTAAACAGAGAGGTGGCCAACCCATGACCTGGCAGAGGAGTATGAAGGAGATCACGAAACGCTTGGGTGCTGTCGGTGCTACTCGCCTTCCAGGATGGGGACTGTGTGATCCTCACTGTGCCTGGTTGGAGACACTACAAGATGTGGCTGCCAACCGATGTCAGTGATGTTCTTGTTGTCAGTTTTTATTCAGATTGCCTGAGTGAATATATGGAGGTGTAGGCACCTCGGAATTATTGTGGTAAGCTAGCACTGAGTCCCCCCGTCAACCTTTACTTTTTTTACAGTAATGCTTTCAAATAAGTCATGGTTGTACGGCAGCGAAGCATCGGTGTTGAACACTGATGTCATGTTGTCGATGATGACCGCTAAATTGCCTAATCAGGATCAATCAAGACGGGAGATTGGGTTTGAACCACGGACCTTTCAGTCACTAAGTTCGCGCTTTATTCACCGAGCCATCTTGAGCTCCCCATCTCACGCCCCAGTTCATCTCATAGTCAACTATAAATCCACGTGACAGGGCTGCCTGTGATGTTTGAAATCTAGATAAATCTGTCAGCGCCAGTTTTGCGCGTCAGAGATCTGGGATTCTGAAAAGACAGGATAAGCGTGTGTTCTTATTTCTACATGCCAGTTCCTCTTGATTTCACAAACATCTGGACTTGAAAGTGGTTGTGTGTGACTTGGTGGAGGGGGCGAGATTGCTCAAGCGGTTAGAGCGCGCATCGAATGACCGGAAGGTCCGTGGTTCGAACCCAGTCTCTGCCTCTCGACTTCCCCTGTCTAGGCTTGGGTAATCTGGCAGCATTGCAGCCATCGTGTCTCTTTGGGGTGGCATGGCAGCTAGGCGCCGAAAGGGTGCCACGGATGTACGATTTTGACCTGATGGATATCGTGGAGATCAGCTTTGCTCGCCGAGTCACAGATTACTGATTTCAATCAGTAATGTCATTTCAGCTGAGCAGTGGTTGGACAAAAATGGGGGTTCCTACTAGCCCGAAGTTCACAGAACTCGTCGGAGTTACTTCCTTGAGACAGATTATATGGCAGATTATACGGAACTATACAAGACCGCTCAGTTCACTCATATCCAGTCGACAGCTAGTATCTGAATACGAATTACTTATTCCCACGTGACTCGCCTAATATTGCGAATCTCTTATCGGGATCGGACATCAAATTACAATCAAACCACAGTTGACCAGGTCAATCGACCGACTACTTCAATATGGATCAATAGACAGATCAATATGGGCTGTTTGAGTTGCGGCAGTAAACGCAACCGCTGCTATACTTTCGTTGTACAAAATACTTCATTTGTTACATATTGGCGAAAAAATCGCACGAGCCGTAATAAATTGAGTCGAAAGCTTGTATAGGATAGCTATCGATGTCGAGACAACCGTGATTCATGGTCGTACAATCAGGATAATTTATTCAGAAAGTCCTCGACGTATCAGGAAAACAAAACCGGGAGAATCTACTCCACCATGCAGTCAGATATTCTGAACGTCGATTTACAGAGTTTCTGGACAAGCACAGAGATCGTGTGTACCTTATCCTGAAAGCCTGTTTGTTGCGGCTTCATTGATCCAAGAAGTGGATGAATTCTGGGCCAGTGAGAAACAGCGGGATTTGCCGCTGATGTACCAGAGAAATTGGAATTTCAATGTTTGGAACAGCTTGTCCTTCTGTGACATCATCCAGAGTCGTGGGATAGGATGGACTATCTCGACTGGCTTTGCTAATCAGGATGTCTAATGAGCCGATCTTCTTCAGCCACCGAAGGGTCAATAAACAGCGGGATTCCTGCTCCAAACAGGGTCAGTGGGATGCCACCCAAACCGGGCATAGGTGGAACAACACTTTCAACCATGATTGATAATGGTGACGCTGGGTGTGACATCTTGGTGCATCCATGCATTGGGCAAGACGGCGGAATGACCACCTGCAAAAGAGGGTGGAGTTGTGTCACCAACACCTCTCCTCCCACCTTTTCAGTGTCACTCCCTCCTGCTTACAGTTTGGCCTCCAAATCTTCGGAGTGTGGAATGATTGACTGGCACGGTAGTATTGCAGCCGAAAGCGAAAGAAACTGACGTTCGAGAGGAAAGTTGTTTATTCGGAACAGGCAAGCGGAGGTGCCCGACAGTTTAGGTACGTACCGTCATCCCAAATGAGAGAACATCAATAAAAGCGTTTCGCCGATCGATCCTATTGGCTTTCCGTTCACGTGTGGTGTGGCAGATATCCCCTGTAGTTCTGACCGGACACAACGCGTGGTCCACCATGATACGCCAAGGGGAATGCGCGTACACAGACACACGCTGCGCTAACGAAAGCGTTCGAATGTGCGTCACACCACCCACTCTCGTCATGCAGCCAGAAACGTTTGTTGCACACCCTCAGCCAATCGATAATGACGGTGAATTTCGTCAGTTAACGCAGGGCAAGTTTACAAAGCAAACGAATGGATCAGTGGAGCACTTGCTGTTGCTAAGGTTGGTGGTATGAAGCTGAATCGAAAAAAAACATTTGGGTTTGCGAATAAAGTGGGATAGCTGTCAGCCCACCAGTTTGTCGAGTCTAGTACTCATAAATAGCCCCCCGTGTCACAGAATATCAGCGTCAGCTTTCGTATTGCGAATTCGGCTGGAAAAACCCACCAGTCCAGTGGAGAACTGAGCAGCTCATTCAACCAATGATTTGTTGATTCAATTGCTTTTTGTCAGCTGTAATAACTTTTCGTACAGTGGTTGTAGCTGCCACAGTTTCATCCACCAATGATTTGGGGAGGTGAAATAGGTAGCTGCGCATTAGAGGCGGGAGCTGATAAATTGGTGCGTAAACACAGAACTGTCAATGGACTATTGAGTAGGGGAATAGGGAAGCGAGCTATGCATAGAAGGATGCATGAGGAGCGCCTTTGAGGGCGCGACAGTCCCATGTCTGATAATGTCTCCAACCATTTATGTGGTCCGTCTCGGGGTCTCCATCCAGGAAGACAGCAAGAACCAGCGCAGTTGAGTTTGCTTGTAATGGCTTTCATACTTTGCTGCCAAGGCATTGTTTGACAGCCTCTGGCTCTCTTCCATCCTTCGAGGAAGTCGGTCGTGTGGCATACGCAGCACGTGGCCAAGCCGGCGCAACCGATCCAGTGTGATCAGTTCATCTATTGAGGGTGAGTTATTTCTCCCGAATACCATTCGCTCTTTGAGGGGACGCTACACTTCCCCGTTTGAATTGTCAGAAGACCACAGCTGATCATATTGAGATGGAAAAAATACAGTCATCCAAACGACCTTCCTGAGTCTCTAAAGGCTGGTACTCTGAGGCAGACTAGGCAAAACATGCAAAATACGTTCACTGGACGCTACACGAAATCTGCAAACGAGTGCAGCTGACCACGACGCGAATGTGGTTAACCTACACGCTGATCAGTTTGAAGCTTTACATGAGATGAAGTCCGGAAAAAATCGAAACAAATTTGGAATGCTTTGTTGTAGAAGGTCGTGTTTGACACAACTAGGTAAATTCTGCTTGGAGCAAGTACACCGTCTGACCTACCGCAAAAAAGATAGCATTCAGCTGTGGCACCCGTTCGGTGCCTAGCTGCCATGCCACACGAAAGAAGCACGAGGGCTGGGATACTGCTAGGTTGCCCAAGCCTAGACAGAGGAAGTCGAGAGGCAGAGGTCGGGTTCAAACCATCGACCTTCCGGTCAGTAAATTCGCGCTCTGACCACTTGGTCCATTACGCCATCCCACTGCAGCTAACAGCCTAGTGCGGTCTATACAAACAGTTTAAACGTGATCAACAAACGAATGTTCTGCGTCAAGACTAGAGTTCCTAGCTAACTAACCTTCAACCGGAAGGTGAAAACAAATGCCTTTTCCACACAAATACATCTGGCTCTTTGGGAAACGCTACAGGTTGGCGAAGGTGGAGAGTGGAAAAAAACCATAGGGGTATCAAACGCCAGTACCGGCGGTGTTGGGGGGAGGGGGACGACAAATATGGGGACACAACAACAACAACAACAAACAAAATCGATTTCGGACACCCGGTGCTTTCATGTCCAAAGAGCAGTCCCACACAAAATAGCTATGACTTCCGGCCTTTCTTCTTTACACAACAACACAACAACAGCAATAACAAACAAAACCGATTTCGGACACTCGGTGCTTGCATGTCCAAAGAGCAGTCCCACACAAAATAGCTATGACTTCCGGCCTTTCTTCTTTTTGCCGCTTTTTGAGCCGCCGCTGCTTTTTGGAGTTGTCGCGGCCTCATTCCCTGTTCTGGGTGGCGTATGGAGAGCTGGGTCGGAGGTTAGGTGTGCCGATTCGGCTGGAGTAGGGAAATCCGCCGGAGATGTTGTGCGGTTTGGGGAAATCTTCTCAGGTTCTGACGCTGTGGTGTTAGAAACTGGCGCTGGAGTAGCGGTAACGGGTGCTACAGTGGACGATTCTGTTGCAGCGGGTTTGGCAAGCGAATCTCCAGTTTGGTCGGAATTTGCCTGGGTCGTGGTTTTGGCTGGATTCGTATCGGCTACGGGCGTTTCTGGCTTCATCGCGGGGAACAGAATGACTTCCTTCAAATTGTTGGTATTGGTCAGAAACATGGCCAGCCGATCAATCCCCATGCCCCACCCAGCTGTGGGAGGAAGACCGTAGCCAAGGGCCGTCAAAAACGGTTCGTCGGTTGGCATCGCTTCGCCGTCGCCAGCAGCCTTGGCCTGGAAAAACGCGAAAATGAAAATGTGGCAGATAAGCAAAACAACGCTGGGGAAAGACCACGAATAGATAAAGAACCTGCGCTTTCGGTCAAACATTACCAAGATTCCAAATCTGGTAGTTCTTTAGGAGGTTACCACTGAGTTCGAGATAGTTCAGTAGTTATGACGTGAAGTTACTTACCGGAAGGTCTGCGTTTCAAACCCTATCCAGGTATCTCGAACGCTGAGAGTGGGCAACCGAAAGGGTGTTACAGCTGAACGACTATTTATTTCTATTTCTCATCTGTGTCGTAACCCTTAAATCCAACATTGAAGATAGGCGTCAAATTGAGCCAGTACAGTGGTTGTCGGCTCTAATACCCGCATACTGTGTGATGACTACAAGGGGGAACTGTCACAGATTACAACTTCCTGGGTCGTGGTTTTGGCTGGATTCGTATCGGCTACGGGCGTTTCTGGCTTCATCGCGGGGAACAGAATGACTTCCTTCAAATTGTTGGTATTGGTCAGAAACATGGCCAGCCGATCAATCCCCATGCCCCACCCAGCTGTGGGAGGAAGACCGTAGCCAAGGGCCGTCAAAAACGGTTCGTCGGTTGGCATCGCTTCGCCGTCGCCAGCAGCCTTGGCCTGGAAAAACGCGAAAATGAGAATGTGGCAGATAAGCAAAACAACGCTGAGGAAAGTCCACGAATAGATAAAGAACCTGCGCTTTCGGTCAACCAGTAAACAGATCCCAAATCCGACAGTTTGGACTAGAGATAGTTCGGTAGTTATGGCGTGAATTTACTTACCGGAAGGTCTGCGTTTCAAACCCTATCCAGGCACCTCGAACGCTAGGAGCGGGCAACCGAAAGGGTGTTACAGCTGAACTATTCATTTCGATTTCTCATCTTTTGTGGTAACACCTCTTAAATCCAACATTGAGGATAGGCGTCAAATTGAACCAGTACGGTGGTTGTCGGCTCTAATACCCACATACTGTGTGATGACTACAAGGGGGAACTGTCACAGATTACAACTTCAAGACGCTCGTCTATGGCGCTGAATGGTACACCGGCCTCCGGAGTATCATGCTCATCACTGACAGTAACACCAGAGGACAAACACTGACGGTTCACTGACATTCAGCCACGCTGATTTACTAGAATGACGATCAATTTAGGATAGAAGGGGAAAAGGAACGGGGAGGCTGGCGCCAGCCTGTCACAGTCATCCCTATGCCTATGCTTCCAATTTCCAGTCAATGTGGCAGATAAGCAAAACAACGCTGGGGAAAGACCACGAATAGATAAAGAACCTGCGCTTTCGGTCAAACATTACCAAGATTCCAAATCTGGTAGTTCTTTAGGAGGTTACCACTGAGTTCGAGATAGTTCAGTAGTTATGACGTGAAGTTACTTACCGGAAGGTCTGCGTTTCAAACCCTATCCAGGTATCTCGAACGCTGAGAGTGGGCAACCGAAAGGGTGTTACAGCTGAACGACTATTTATTTCTATTTCTCATCTGTGTCGTAACCCTTAAATCCAACATTGAAGATAGGCGTCAAATTGAGCCAGTACAGTGGTTGTCGGCTCTAATACCCGCATACTGTGTGATGACTACAAGGGGGAACTGTCACAGATTACAACTTCCAAGGCAACCATCTACAGCATTGAATGGGACACCGGCCCCCGGAGTATCATGCTCACAACTGACAGCAACACCAGAGGACAAAGACTGATGGTTCACTGACATTCAGTCACGCTGATTTACTAGAATGATGATCCATTTGGGATAGAAGAGGAAAAGGAACAGGGAGGGGATCTGGGGCCAGCCTCTCACAGTCATCCCTATGGCTACGCTTCCAATTTCCAGTCAGACCTAAAGCCGCCACCTTGACGTGATGGTCGGGCTTGAGTGCTGCCTGCATCCCGCGGGCTACACTGGCTGGAACTTCGTTCAACAAGCTGCAACCATGCCAGGATGGCCAAAGGGGAGCAGCCAGACAAAGAGAAGTAAGGCCCCGTACTGCGAAGCGGTATGGGGGCAAAATCGTACTATTCCCTGAGACGGGATTGTAAAGGCTGTAATGTGTTATCCC